AAGGGAAGTCACGCATGATTCCAGGGAGGTGATGATGATTAAGTCGATTGATACGCTGGCCAGCGTCATCCGACAGCCCTCACAGAGATACAGTAATAAGTCTAAGTTCGCGGATGTACAGAAAGCAAGGGAGAAGAAATACTCCAGTTTCAGAGGCGAGAAAAGCTCTTTTCATTGTCCATACGGGAACAACAGATATACCTTAGGGAGACGACGCGTCCCCAGAGACTCAAGACGTTGAAGATGGGGTTCTGAACGACTGGACTCTTCCCTCCCCAGCCGTTTCTGTACAACTGTCAACAGTGGGTGGACGTCTACAAAGGTACTGGGAAAATTGGGGAATTCTGGAGGACGACTACGTCTCACAAGTACTGCAAGAAGGTTACAGAGTACAGTTGAAGGCCACTCCACCGTTGACCTGCAACCCACTAGTCTTCAACTACGCAGACGATCAAACAGAAGTTAGACGTAGCCATCAACTCCCCGTTAGACAAGAATGCCGTAGAATCGATGGAACAAGATCACTTAACACCCAGCTTTTACTCCCCAATTTTCCTAGTACCCAAAAAGAACCCCAAGGAGAATTTCAGACTGATATACAATATGAAAAGGTTCAACCAAGACTATCTACTCAAACCCGACAGGTTCAAGATCATCCACCTACTTCAGCTCAGACATCTCGTCCGTCCAGCAGACTATCTGGCCAGCATAGACCTTCAGGATGTGTATCTACACATCCCGATTCATCAGGATTCACGAAAGTATCTGAGAGTCCTGTTCAAAGGTCGACATTTCCAGTGGAGAGTCCTGCCGTTTGGCATATCGTCGGCACCGTGGTTGTTCACACGAGTGACCAAGCCCATTGTCACCTATCTACATTGTTGAGGTCAACGCAGTGCTTTCTACCTGGTCAACGGGATACAAGCTCATCAAGTAGCCAGTCAACTCAAACTACAACTGGACTTCACCATCAGACTGCTCACACAGCTAGGATGGCTAGTGAACTTGACGAAATCAGAGTTGGAACCGAAACAAGATTTGCAGTTCCTGGGAATAAGATTCATCAATGCCTTACAACACTGGTCGAGCTCGCTGATCAACAGAATGCTAACAGTCCACACAGACAACTCAACAGTGGATTCTACATAAACAGACAAGGGTCAACAAGATCTCCAAGGCTGTTGCCGCTCACATTCCAGTTATTCAACATGGTAGATGACCTAAACATTTGGATAAAGGCGTGTCACATTCCAGGAGCCAAGAATGTATTTGCAGACGCTCTATCTCGTCCACTTTAACCATCTCCTGCAGAATGGATGCTACACCCAGAGGCATTTCGGCTCATCACATAGACAGAAGGATCTCCGCTCATAAACCTGTGTCTCAAGATTCAACAGATACAGACATTTGTCTCACCAGTACCAGATCCCCAAGCCTGGGCAACAGACGCCTTGAGCATGTCATGGGAAGGACTAAACGCATACGCGTTCCCGCCTCCGGTTCTACCACCACAAGTGTTTCGGAAAATCAAGCAGACCAGAGTTCTGTAACTGACATTGGTCGAGCTCTACTGGTCAGCGAGAGTTTCCCGATCTCATTCAAGAACTCGGAAGTCCAACCATGAAACTACCAGAATGGCTGAACTCACTCATCCATCCGCACACCAAGCAAGATCACAGGAATCTGTTGATATTCCAGCTACACGTATGGATCGTATCAAGACTTGCTTAAAGAAAAGAGGATACTCCGCCTTTAGCTCTACGCAGATCAACTCACAACTTGTATGATGACAAGTGGTAGAGATTTGAACAGTATGCAAGGCGGAAAGGCTTTTCAGCTTTGAAAGCAACTCATCCTCAAGTGGCGGAATACTTGTGTTACCTTAGACAGGCAAAAGACGATTCAAAGGTTCGACTCTATCAACATATCTGGCAGTGATCAGTACAGTCGTCATGATGAAGACAGGCATCAGGCTGACGAAAGTGCCAGAACTCCTTGCTCTACTGCGCTCCTTTAAGCTGGAAGATCAGCAAAATAAATTCAGGGCACCTGCATGGGATCTCAACGTAGTCGTACAACATCTCACGAGTAATGCCTACGAGCCACTATTATTATTTTTTTATTATAGGATATTTATATAGCGCACATATCCAGGCAACTAGTGCATGCTCAAGGCGCTGGTATTTTCCCCTCGATCATTGGATGTCAATCTCAACGGCACATCGTATTATCAATCTCAACTCCCTGGGGAGTATACAACTCTTGCAGCCACTAGGCGCACCGAGTTATTGTGGCTTTCTCATCCTAACGAGGTACCCATTCACAGCTGGGTGGACTAGAGCAAACAACCTTTGAGCTACTCACACAGAAAACTCTGTTCCTACTCGCCTTAGCCACGGCAGCTAGGATGTCAGAAATACATGCGCTGGACTTTGGACGAACTCGATTCGACATGGGACACCGTGCTGCAGTACATCTAGGACTTAGATGGGACTTTATTGCAAAGAATCAGTTAGTTAGCTGGCCAACCGGACAGACAGTTCCACGTCTCAGCTCTATCTACAATCCTCGGTCCGGAGGATACGCAAGACTTATCCTTGTGTCCAGTCAGACTGACTGGGTTTGGTTTTACGCCACTTTTAGCAATATTCCCGCAACGTCACGGCGGGGGACACCAGAAATGGGCTTCACACATTGTGCCCACGTGGGGATTCGAACCCGGGTCTTCGGCGTGACGAGCCAACGCTTTAACCACTAGGCTACCCCACCGCCCCGTGTCCAGTCAGAGCTTTACAGATATACCTGCAAAGGACTAAAACAATGAGAAGAAAATTCAAGTGCCTATCCATCCCCTTGTCTACAGAGACACCTACAGAGGTCTCAAGAACGACAATATCGTTCTGGATGAAGGCCGTTATACTAAGGGCCTACAAAGCAGCAGGACTAGAACCTCCACGAGCATCCAACCCACACGAAGTTTGAGCTTTGGCGTCTACACTTGCTTTGCACGGAAACTGCCCGATTACAGCGATAATGGAGCGCGCTGCTTTTGGAAGTCAGATACGGTGTTTGCCAACCACTACCTCAGAGACATTGCCACTGAAGACGTCTGCGGTATTCACCAATTTGGGCCACTTGTTATAGCACAACAACTAACGGTTCCACAAAGGCGCTGAGCTGAAATCTCACCCTTTTTATCACGTGACTTGCTGATAACCTTCGCTCTGGAGAGTTTTAGTTGTACGTCTAGGACAGGCTAGCATGAGTGATTAAGACCCTGCACTTGTATGGAAAATACTTCGTACGTGGAAAGGGTTGCAACTCTTATGATGAAGAAGATACCATAATCCATGAGTTGCTATAGATAAATAGTAAGAAGAAATACTAGTATATCTTAAATCCACATAAATCTGATAGATTCACTTGTCTTAAAGAAGTCTGACAAGATGTGGGTATATTCAGGAGAGAGTGACAAGCTTGGTTAGTCATGTTACTATTATTGGCAGGAAAGTATGCAAGGGAGGCAACTCATGGGTGAGTGTACTTTTACATCCTCTTCAGAGGGAACTACAAGGGATTCGAGTGTTCCACTATCACTTGCGTAGAAGAAGGAGATAAGCATAATAAGCATGAGTCAGGATAAGTATAAAATATCAATTTTCCTTAAAAAATTACATGTTTTGGTTTTACTTTCCCAATATTATGGCAAAAACAAATGCGGGTTAGATGTTCAGTAACCCATGCTTGTCATAAGAGGCGACTAACAGGGTCGAGTGTTCAGACTCGCTGATTTGGTTGACCCATGTCATTGTATCCCATATTGTGTAGATCGATGCTCATGCAGTTGATCACTGGATTGCTAGGTCCAGACTCGATTATTTACAAACCGCCACCATATAGCTCCACTCACTCACTCACTCACTCACTCACTCACTCACTCACTCACTCACTCACTCACTCACTCACTCACTCACTGTTCATGTTCATTTGATATATTTTTTTCACCTGAGAAAGGGAAGTAATAAGTGTGAAAAACCTTCTTTCCCTTTTAGTCATTTCAGGAAATAACTGATTTGATGTGCTCACACAAATATATTAAATTTGTGTTGTCAAGGGAGTTGCATCCCTTTATGCTGGGTACCTGTGGTTTCGGTCCCAGTTAGCCCTGATTATTTTCCTTGCGGTTAAAGTGGAAAGGGGAAGGTCGTGGGTTCGATTCCCGGCTGCGTCAAAAGATGTTAAAATATGGTACTTGTTGGTCTCTGCCTGGCACTTGGTATTAATGGGTAATCAGTATAATGTGTCTGAGGGGGGTATTCATGCTTAACTACGGCATGGTATCTCAGTGAGTGAGCACTATAAAACCAGCTTAAGTCTGGGCTAGTACAAGCAGCCACACATAACCACGCATGCACATCATCATATGAGCGAGACCGCCTCCGTGGTGTAGTGGTTAGAGCGGAAGGTCGCGGGTTCAATCCCCGACCGCGTCATACCAAAAGACGTTAAAATATGGTATTTGTTGGTCCCTGCCTGGCGCTCGGCATTAATGGGTACAACAAGGACTGGTCAGCTCGGAGTCAGTATAATGTGTCTGAGTGGGGTATTCATGCTTCACTGCGGCATGGTATCTCAGTGGGCTAGCACTATAAAATCAGCTTAAGTCTGGGCTAGTACAAGCAGCCACACATACACATACACACGCAAGCACGCCTTCATATGAGCGAAATATTCTCAAGTACGACATTAAACCCAATTTCACCTCACCTCCTTATTGTTAAAGTATTCGCTTGTCATACTGAAGACCCAGGTTGTATTCCCAACATGGGTACAATTAATGAAGCCCATTTCTGGTATCCCCTGTCATAATATTGGTTGAATATTGCTAAAAGCAGCATAAAACCATGCTTACTCCTTGATTTATCAGCACACCATGACACACACAGTTTTATGGAAAGTAGCATTAAGCCAAACTGACTGAAGGTATGTTTGTGTTGCAGGTGCAGGCAGTGAATTGTCAGCTTCTGTTTGTACATTCAGCCCTACCTTGATGAAGTGAGATTCACACCAGTATCACAACATTGAAGCCTGCTACAGCAGCTGAGCTAGCAGTGCCCACAATGGACCCAAACCATTGGAACTACAACCAGGCGTACAGCAGAATCAGCTCGGGGAGCCTCCCTGCAAGCCATGGCGGCATCAACAGACTGGACTTCCCCCTCCTCGACCAGGCCACGCTCAGTTCAGGTGGGTTCAGGCAATGGGGCTCAGGGAGGGAATATGTAGCCTTGACTTCATTGATTGTGTGACACTGTACCAGTGGAGTGGATTTAGTCATAATATCAGTCATGGAATTGTCTAGATCTGTTCCTCCTCTATGGAGTCTAGACCCATATAGTGGGATTTAGTCATAATATCAGTCATGGAATTGTCTAGATCTGTTCCTCCTCTATGGAGTCTAGACCCATATAGTGGGATTTCAATCATGGAATTGTCCAGATCTGTTCCTCCTCTATGGAGTCTAGACCCATATAGTTGGATTTCAATCATGGAATTGTCCAGATCTGTTCCTCCTCTATGGAGTCTAGACCCCATATAGTGGGATTTCAATCATGGAATTGTCCAGATCTGCTCCTCCTCTATGGAGTCTAGACCCATATAGTGGGATTTCAATCATGGAATTGTCCAGATCTGTTCCTCCTCTATGGAGTCTAGACCCCATATAGTGGGATTTCAATCATGGAATTGTCCAGATCTGTTCCTCCTCTATGGAGTCTAGACCCCATATAGTGGGATTTCAATCATGAAATTGTCTAGATCTGTTCCTCCTCTATGGAGTCTAGACCCATGTAGTGGGATTTAGTCATAATATCAGTCATGGGATTGTCTAGATCTGTTCCTCCTCTATGGAGTCTAGACCCATATAGTGGGATTTAGTCATAATATCAGTCATGGAATTGTCTAGATCTGTTCCTCCTCTATGGAGTCTAGACCCATATAGTGGGATTTCAATCATGGAATTGTCCAGATCTGTTCCTCCTCTATGGAGTCTAGACACCATATAGTGGGATTTCAATCATGGAATTGTCTAGATCTGTTCCTCCTCTATGGAGTCTAGACCCCATATAGTGGGATATTAGTCATAATATCAGTCATGGAATTGTCCAGATCTGTTCCTCCTCTATGGAGTCTAGACCCATATAGTGGGATTTCAATCATGGAATTGTCTAGATCTGTTCCTCCTCTATGGTGTCTAGACACCATATAGTGGGATATTAGTCATAATATCAGTCATGGAATTGTCTAGATCTGTTCCTCCTCTATGGAGTCCAGACCCCATAGAGTGGGATTTCAATCATGGAATTGTCTAGATCTGTTCCTCCTCTATGGAATCTAGATCCCATATAGTGGGATTTAGTCATAATATCAGTCATGTAATTGTCCAGATCTGTTCCTCCTCTATGGAGTCTAGACCCATATAGTGGGATTTCAGTCATGGAATTGTCTAGATCTGTTCCTCCTCTATGGAGTCTAGACACCATGTAGTGGGATTTAGTCATAATATCAGTCATGGAATTGTCCAGATCTGTTCCTCGTCAATGGAGTCTAGACCCAATATAGTGGGATTTCAATCATGGAATTGTCTAGATCTGTTCCTCCTCTATGGAATCTAGATCCCATATAGTGGGATTTAGTCATAATATCAAACATGGGATAGACAATCCCATGTAGCAGAAATAGGTCATATTTTTCATTATCCTGACTCATGCTCTTTTGCTTGTCTTCTTCTTCTTGCGAACACAGTGGAACACTTGTATCTCCCAATTGAAGCTCCCTTCAATGTAAAATCACTAATTAGTACTCACCAAGAGTTATCTCGATCCGACTCCTTTGCGCGTGGGAACGAGGGCGCCACTTCCCGCCACATGCCTCACTCTTTCTCCTTCGCCGCCCAGTGAGCAGGATGTGAGAGCGCCTGTGTCTCCCTACACACTATATCCTTTGTTTATTCTTAGTTATTTACCTCTCATGGACTTCTATAGAGGTGTAGCTAGTATCCTTCAACATAATGCATTGATATTTATTCGTGTTTCTACTGTTTATTCACGGGACTCCGTGTTTGTTCAGATAGATTGCGTTGATGAAAATCTGCAGCATTTGTAAATTACGTTTTTCTGCTGCTGACCCGCATTTAATATGCCCTAGTTGTACTACGCCATGCTCTACTGTTTCACGTTGCAATTATTGTATTAAATTATCCAATTCTGCCTTTGATAAATATTTATTATGCGTCTTGAGACGCGCAGCAGATAGGTCACGTAAACGCATTTTATCCATGGCTAATACACCAGAGCCCTTACCCTGTCAACTGTTGTCGGACGACCCCCTCCCTTCTGGTGTTCCGCTAGAGTTACCTCGAGGAGAGGGGTGGGGACGAGTCCGCTACCTCCAAGAAGCGACCTGCATCCCCGGACATCCCATCGTCGCAGCCAAAGACTAGGAGGGCTTCCACGTCGTCACAACGCAGACTCCGCACCCCCAGGGCTACATCCACGTCGCAGGGGAAATCATCGAAGTCCAGCAGTACTTTCTCAGCCGAGATTGTTCCCGTTGCAGAGTTGGGCCTGTTTGATGATGATGATCCGATCATCATTCCAGATGTACGGCGGAAGAAGCGGCCAGTGTCGGCAACTATAACTTCAGCGCAGATTAGCACGCAGGCTGAGGCACCTACACTGATGTCAGAGAATCGTCCTGAGGGTCCCGTCGGTACCAGCGTAGAGAAGGCAGCAACTGCTTCAGCGCAGACCGTCCCAGACGACCTGATGAACCACATCATGAAAATTATGGAAGATCGCTACGGTCTTCGGAGGCCTTTAGAGCCACGGGCGACCCAGCTCACCCCCATACCTCCGTGTAGGGCGACCCAGCCCGTTTGCACGTCTCCGCGTAGGGCGACCCAGCCCGTCTCTAAGCCTCCGCGAAGGGCGACCCAGCCCGCCTGCACGAAGGACCCCGATCCTTAGCAGTCACGGAAGGCTTCACGGAGGATGTCTGTATCACCTACGTCGGACCTTGATGAGAGAGGACGTTCGCGAAGCAAGATCCTCTCATCCCATGATTCCGACTCAGACTTTCAACCTTCACGAAGGTTAAGTGGCTCCAAGTCATCCTCATCTAGAAGATCTTTAACCCCCTGGCTGCCGAGATTTTTTTCAGGCGCACATTTTCATATGCTTTGAAAAGTGAACGTTGTGCGAGAATTGCGCTCGCGTGGTGCTGGATCTACGTACGGCTATAAAATTACACAGAAATGTAGAATATTAAATTTCCTATCCGTTGGTATAAATGTAAGTGCAACAACCTCTGCGGTTTGAGAAATAGACCTTGCTAAATGTTGTCCAAATTTTTGTTATGCGTTAAAAAACAGTAAATTTCTCCGCTTTTTATCACAAGACCGATAAAAGCACTGTGCTACTTCTGAATTTTTATTTTGGCATCTTTCCGAAAGAGTGAGCTAAGAAAATACAGCCTGATATCTGAACGACATAAGTGTATATGAATTGGATTTATGTGCTTATGCATAACATTATACGCTCAACATTAAAAATTACTCGCAATAAATGTCAAAAATGGATTTTCTTCTATGACGTCAGACAACGACAGAGATGTCATACACGTATAATGATAAGGGGGCATAACTCCGTTATGCGTAACACTAGGTCAATGTAACTCAGTTCACATGGAGAGAATTTGTTGTGGATACGGACGCTATATTTTCGTTATTTTTTGTTCACGGTGAACCAAACTATTCCAATTCAAAGTTCCCCAATGTGAGCGGATACGCTTTGGTAGTTTCACAGTTTATAAGAAAAGATGACAACGTGCTACATGTGAAAGCATGTAATTGCGATTTGAATGGCCCTATCCGATATACAAGTTAGTTCTTAGATTCCCATATTCTCCTGTTTGTGTAGATGTATTTTGACTAATTTTGCATCGTTATTACCAGAATACTAGCCATATCTTCGAATGTAATGAAACTGCTGAAAATAATACAACATTTTAGTTGACGTCATTGCTTGTTTTATGCATTTTGCGACGTCGGAAAAGGACGACATTGGTATGCTGATTAGTATATATGTCACTTAATTTCCATTAATTGTATAAAAGGGCTAAACTTCTATGTCAGAATTTAACACTCTTTAGACAAAACATAAAATGACTGATTTTTCCATTTAAATAGTGTCCTGAATATATCAACAATTAGACGGTTTGACAGCGTATCTTTTTGTGAACAACACGCGCACCTGTTTGGCATCAATGTAACGTAAATAAGAATAATATTTCACAACACCCGAATATTTTGTTTGGGATAAGAATTTTGTTTGTTTATGATTATGTCGCTATTTCTCTTTATACGTATGCAATGAAAGATGCAAAAAGATAGCTTTTTATATATGGAACTATATATTAGAATATGGATGTAAGATTTGTCCGAATTAACACATGAGATGGTATATATATTTTTCAACAATTTTCCTATAAATGTAGTTACAGTTTGATATCGCTATTTCTCTTTATACGTATGCAATGAAAGATGCAAAAAGATAGCTTTTTATATATGGAACTATATATTAGAATATGGATGTAAGATTTGTCAGAATTAACACATGAGATGGTATATATATTTTTCAACAATTTTCCTATAAATGTAGTTACAGTTTGATATCCTGTCATCACAATATTATTTAATCGAATATGAATTGAATATATTATCGAAAACAATGATAGAGAATCATAAAACGTTTCCAACAAACGCGCACCTTGCCAATCAATATGCATAATTCTTTTGTCTATAAAACGACACAAAATTATGCAATGAACAAGACAATTCCTTTAAATATGTGTGCATATACATTTCATACCATATATAAATCATTGTCATTAATTTTATCAGTTTTACATATAAGGTTGAATTAAATCAACTTTCATGAACCTGTTCATATGAAATTGCAATATTAGTAAAAAAAAGAGTTAATATTGTACATCATAGGAACTAAAGTAGTTGCAGTTATTGCTACGTTTGATCTTCTAACACTTGTGTAAAGGTTTCGAATATGGTGTATTGCACTAAATATGTCAATTTCTTATGCAAATATGATTCAAACAATCAAAAACTTTCAAAGAATATAACACCGTAAACCCTATATGCACGTATGATATGATATTGAACAAGGCTAAAT